CAGGGGCAGACCCAGGAAACACTTGGTGAGTCATGGTGCTCGTGGAACTCCACGGCCGTGGCGGCGCTGGAGGGGCTCTGGCCTCAGAAGGCACCAGCGAGTGTCTGTCCGCAGCACAGGGTGCGGTGGCTGCTCAGCTCCTGGAGGGTGCTGAGGACGCAGAACCCTGGGTCAGGAGCTTTGGAGATTGCAGCCATGGGTGGGTGGATGAAGCTGCTGCAAGGAGAACACCTCTTCAATCGTGGAACTCCACGGCCGTGGCGGCGCTGGAGGGGCTCTGGCCTCAGAAGGCACCAGCGAGTGTCTGTCCGCAGCACAGGGTGCGGTGGCTGCTCAGCTCCTGGAGGGTGCTGAGGACGCAGAACCCTGGGTCAGGAGCTTTGGAGATTGCAGCCATGGGTGGGTGGATGAAGCTGCTGCAAGGAGAACACCTCTTCAATGCTGCTCTGGCGGCAGTGTAGGAGACAGCAGAATTCCTTTGGTACCAGGGTCCCACCTGGTGTTTAAGCTCTTAACTTTCTCTGTCTCTCTCCATTGCTTTGCAGGAACCAGAGATGCCTGCAAAAACCAAGTCAAGTAGCTCCTCTTCCTCCACATCATCTTCTTCCTCCTCCTCAGATGAAGACGACGAAAGTGACCTGGAAGCAAAGAGAGGTCCCCGCAGCAGAGAGACTCACCCGGTACCGCAGAAGAAAGCTCAGATCCTGGTGGCAAAGCCGGAAATGAAAGACACTTCCAGGAAGAAGCGTGGGCGGAAACCTCTGCCCCCGGAGCAGAAGGCGGCTCGGAGGACCGTGAACCTGACGAAGGTGCTGAAGACGTCCCGAAAGGAGGTGGGCGGCACAGCCAAGCTGATGGGGAAGCTGCAGCCCCCACAGGGCTCGGGCATGGGCATGCTGAAGGATGCGGCGGGCGCCTTGGCTGGGCTCGGCTCGGGGGGTTCATCTGCGGAAAACCTGCCCAACATGATGAAGAGCGGCTCGGCAAGCCCAACGCGGGCCATCAGCTGGCAGAGCTCCATCGTGCACTACATGAACAGGATGTCCCAAAGCCAGAACTCGGCCGAGAGCTCGCCCCTGAGCAGGCTGGCGCTGAAGTCCCAGGCATCCAGTAAGAGCGGCTTGGGGCTGGACTTAAAAATGAGGAACCAG